TATATATACACACACACACACACACACACACTCCACTACTATTTCTATAGTCACTAGATTGTACAAAATTATATTTTTAATTTTAACTGAATAGGTACTTGGAATTGGAATTTAAATATCCTCAAAGAAGAATGGTAAAAGATTAAACATCCTTAAAATACATTTATCTGAGAACAAAACTATGAAAAAAAGATAGCAAGCAGAAAAATATGAAATAAACATTTGAAAGTCACTAGACTGTAGAAGATTATACACTGCTACATGGTTGCATTTGGGGGATTCTAACAAAAATAACTATGGTGATATACAGTATACTGCTAGCATGATATGAAATGACTTGGAGCCTGAGCTTCTGGTCAGACTGTGCTCTCAGAGTGTGTGTGTGTTTGTGTTTGGATGTGTGTCGTCTCTCACCGTGCAGACACCTGCTGTGACACACTCCTCCCCGCGTGTGACAAAACACTCTGCAGCAGCTTCACTGTCTGCTCCTTCATCCAGCCCACATCCTCCTGAATGTCTGGCAACCACTCCAGCAGTCTGAGACAGAGAGAGTTCAAGAAAATACATTTCATTTTTATGACTGAAGGCCAGCATAATAGGACCCCTTTAAGTGAACTTAAAACAATCTTCAAATAAACCAATTATAATAAATGTCATATTTACCTGTGCCCTTCAGCAGAAATATGCAGAAATTGAAATTGAAGTTATCAAACACTAAATTATAAATTAAACATAGATGAATCCTTAAAGCTATTAAAGTTATTGATTTCCTCATTTTTCTTTTGTTCTTTGATGAACAGACATCACAGCAGCTGGTATTTGGTATTTTAACGCGCTAATTTTGACACCACTAATATAAATATATATATACTGTATATACTTTATTTATTTCAAATTTATACGATGAATTAATTTACATTCTACATTAGATGAGTATTGCATGAACACCTGCTCTGGTCATGTCCAGAGTTGTGATGAAGTCTGTACCTGATGCTCAGTGACAGAGCTGATTCTAGAGGAAGTGTGTACGGTAACAGGATGGCAGATGCCATTCTAACGGGCAGCATGTTGCTTAGCGACTGCAACAGACTCCGCCTCTCCCTACAGGCCTCCACCAGCGCTGAAGAGAGAACAACAACCACACAGTGAACATCTAACACATTACAACGCTGCTTCAGTGAATACCAGACTAGTTAACATAGTCCTGCTATCTGTCAGTACCTTTATGTACTCTAGGAGGCAAGTGTTCAAAGATGCGCTCCTCAATGCTGGAGAGATCCTGTGTTTCTCTGTCATCTCTGTTCTCTGACTCTTCATCATCCTCACTGTCAGACTCTTCCTCAGCCTCTCCACCAGCTACGGCCAGCATACGGTGTGGACCTCGATACTGTAACAGACCTGAAACACACATACGCACAGTGAGGAAGAGAGCTGAGATCACTCTTAAAGCGGTG